GCGGTCGACCGCTAGGCATCTCGGTCGACCGACCAGACGTCGCGGTCGACTGGATAAATGTCGCAGTCGACCGAACAAACGTCGTGGTCGACCGAACAAATGCCGCGATCTACCGAACAAACTTGGCGGTCGACCAAAACCCTAAAACGAGCTCAGCGGTCGACCGCTCCGGTCGACCGCCAAGCGGACAGAAACCCATATCTGAGTTTCTGTCAGCTAGAAACCTGAGACAAAAATTCTTTGTTAAACAAAATCTAACTTGTAGAGGTGTCATGAATCAGTAAAATCGCGAAAAATAAACCTTTAAAACTTTGCCACCAAGATTCCATAAATGTATAAACATGATTTACTCATCGTTAATAATAAAAACAGGGTTTTTACTCCTTTCCTAGGTATTTTCAGATCTAGATCTGTTAACAGAAAACGTTGGTGAGTTTTTAAAACAGATAAAATCCCAAATCCATATTCTATGCCACAATACTCTATTAGCTATTTTAAAATACGAATTTGGCTCCATAAAAACCAATAAAAATTCAGTTCTTGACATGAAAACAAAAGGGGTGGGGGTTGGACGAGAAATTACTCGCCTTGGGTGTAGATGAACTCCCAAAAACAAGTGAGAATGATCCTCCTTCGCTGAACACCGATGGATCTCGCGTCGACTCCTCCAAAATCCTCCAAGAACGGATCTAGGGTTTGGGAGAGAAGAGGGGGGGCTGCTAGGGTTTGTAAAACAGAAGAAAAGAGGTGATTTTCGTGACAAGAACGGATCTAGGGTTTGGGAGAGAAGAGGGGGGGCTGCTAGGGTTTGTAAAACAGAAGAAAAGAGGTGATTTTCGTGATATAACATGTATATATATAGCAGCAAACCCGAAACCCGAAACCCGAAACTGGAAATTCAGTCTGACTAGGAACATTCTCTTCGGTATTTTTGCTATAACTTTCTCATACGACCTCGGAATAAGGTGATCTAAGATTTTTTGGAAATCTCTTGAAGAGACCTACAACTTTGGTTTTATACACTTTTCCATATTCTTAATGAATCAGTAAGAGAAATATAAAAACTCTCAACTAGTCAAAATTCCCAGATTCTCACTCTTGGCCTTTGTGCATGATTTGTGTATTTGTACTCACATATATACATATATACATTGAATTGATCTCAAATCAGTTCCTAGCATACTCAAACATCATAATATATTATTTATAAATGTATAACATATTTATTATTATTTATCATAAAGTATTCAAATTTTCGGGGTTTTACAATAGAAAAGATATCTTAATTTGGTTACCTGCAAATGCAAATATACCCTAAAAATGAAATCAGAAATAAAGAAGTGGATTACTTTGAAACTTAATCTTGTCACTCTTATTATTTGAGATAAGATAATTGCAAGCAAAGGCTCTACAGTTTTCCTTTTTTTAGAGGAAGTTCGTGATGATTTATCCAATCAACTTGAATGTTTCTTCAAGAAAAAAATTAAATAAATTATGACTAGCTTTATAAATTAATACATTGGGTCATAGGATTTGGATGCACGATGTTTCCGCCACATTATTTTTTTTAATGCATATAATCTTGCAAAGAAATATTTGGGTCACTCTCATCTCCTAAAGCAAATGATAGAAAAAGAGCATTATCTCAAACTTTTACATTGTAAGAAAGAATTCTGAGAGACTGTTAATTGACAAATATTGAAGGCAAATTGACTAACAACAGCAGGATTCAATAAACCAATAGCAAGATGACTAATACCCCACTTGAAGGCAACTTGAGATGCAAATTTAAGGCAAACCAATAACACCTTGAGATGAAAATTGAAGACAAATTGAAGGCAAATTGACTAACAGCAAACCAACAACACCTTCAGATTATATTTGTAATAACAGCAAACCAATAACACCTTGAGATGCAAATTGAGGGCAAATTGACTAACAGCAGCAAGATGCAAATTTAAAAGTCACCTTGAGATCGCTGGAGAGGAAAACGAGAAACCCTTGAGATCGCCGGAGAGGAAAACGAGAAACCCTAGCTAGGGTTCGGAGATTGGGGGAAAACGAGAAAGGGCGACGGAGCTCGAGAATGGCGACGGAGCAGGCCCACGACCTCCAGAACGACGACGGAGCAAGGGAATGGACCTGGAGAACGACGACGGCCCTGCGGGAGTTCAAGCTTGAGAACGAAATTTTTTCCCCCTCTTGCTCCAGGAAACGAAATGGGGTAATTTTAGGGGTGGGGGCTGAAAATTCATTATATACTTGGGGTAATTTGGGGGAAAGTGGGGTATTTGTCCCACAATTACCCCAACAAACCAATAACACCACAAATGTTACCCCAGTTCCAATTACCCTAATGAATAACACCAAACATTGTTGTTCCAAAAGTTATCCCATTATCCCAAAAATTACCCCAATGAATAACCCCCCCTAAGGTTAGTAACTTTCCAATATTATAAGGTCTGCAGAAATTATGCACTAATCGCTCTCTTAAAACCTTAGATCCAGAATTTCTCGACCACCCCCCAATACACACACAAAAAAAAAATAAAAAATAAAAACTGACGATCTAATGCCCAAAGAAAGACTCAATCTTTTGCGTCTGTCTGTGAAAAAAGTCTACCAAGATTTAAGCTTGAATTAGTTCTCAATACAATCTATATACTATTAGGGGCTGTTTGGTTGTTGTTGGTAAAGTTGTGTATTTATGACACAACTTGGAAAGTTGTTGTCCACCTCATCAATTTCACTTTTATAGTTTTCTTTGTTTGTTTTTTATTCCATTGGAATCATAAAACACTTGTTTGGTTTGTAAAATGAAACTTTAATTGTTTGTTTGGAAAGTGTAAAAAGTGGTCCCTACTCAAATGATCATATTTGTTAGAATTATTTTTTATTATTTTTTCCTAACTTCAATGTTAGCTTTCTCCTAAAATCATGTCTTTTTTTTCATGAAATCACTTTACAAGCCACATCAGCATATGAAATCACTTTACACTATTTTCACAACTACAAACAAACAATTGAAAGTAATGAAAGCTGACATTGGGACCCACTTTTTTACACTTTACATCCTTTTACATGGTGAAAACATACAACCAAACAGCCCCTTACTAAAAACTCTTACCTTTCAAAACGCCACTTGACAAAAATGACACATGGCAAAAACTAACACATACCCTTAAAAATGCTACATGACATCAATTTCGGTACCCAACATTATTCATTATCTTATCTTTAGAAACGCCACTTGTCAATTTCTTCTTTTTTTAATCAATTTATTAAATTAAAAAATCTATTAAAAAACTAATCCGTGCAAATTCTCATTAATGCCAACATTAATGGCTCCCCGCTTCGGCTTCCGCAATTTTTTTAAACTGAAAAAACTTCTCATTTCCTCAAAATTAATGGCTCTTCGATTTCTCCAATACCGCTTCGGCTTCCGCTTGGAGCCTTCGATTTCTCCAATGCCGCTCTCTGTCTCTATTCATTAGGTCCTCATTTCTAGGGTTTTTTTAGCCCCCGCAGATCGAAGCTCGATTCCCCCCCAGATGTCTTCACTTGCGGCGTTCTCCTCTGGCTCCAGGGCATCGGCCTCGGATCTCCTGCGGAGCTCGAGCAGTGGAGTGATCAGAGTGCCTCTTAGGATTTTGGGGTGATCAGGAGCGATGAGCGTTGATTTGAGGAGGAGGAGGAGGAGGAGGAGGAGGATGGTGAATGTGATGGCCAAGATCGTGAAGAAGGAGAAGGTGAAGCACGAGTACCCGTGGCCTCACGAGATCGAGCCCGATCCCAATGTCAAGGGAGGGATCCTTAGCCCTTCGAGAAGCCTCTCATGGATCTGGAGAAGAAGATCATGAATGTGAGCGAATTTTTCTTTTTTCTTTATTTTTTGTTACTTACTATGCTACGAATTATTCTTTGAGCTTTTGATCTTACTCACGAACTTGAAAAGATAGCTTAATTTTGGTCTCATGGTTTGTTAGTACAAAAGATGGCTGTTGAAACTGGACTAGACTCCACAGATCAGATCTTATATCTTGAGTCTAAGTATGAGCAGGTAAATTTTTATTTTTTTTTTAATTTTTTTGAAAATTCAAAGCTCACTTTTTAACAATTAGGATGCTTTCTTTTTTTAAGAAAATAGCCGGTCTTCTGTTCCTAAACTATAACAATTCAGAAAAGAAGGGAGATGTATTGAAACGGTTTCAGAAAATAAATGCAAGAGGAACATCATGTTCAATTGAAAAAGTTACAAAAGAATAATTTGTTCAGCATTGATAACAGAGGAGAGTCATCACAAATGCTAAGTCAAATATCTAGCCAAGCATCACAATCTATCTCTGACGACTTCCTGCAATCGGCTGAAAGAAAGAATCTAGATGAGCTACGTGAAATTCGAGAGGTAAAGTGAACAATAATACTTATTTTTATTCTTATATTTTCATGTTCAATCTGTAGTCCTGTTTGAAAGCAATAGCATTGATGGCAGTTTTTCTGAATCTTTTACTTCCATTAGTGTTATTGCATGACTCGAAAGTATTGTAAAAGTTATCGTTTACTTCCAGACATCATGACCCATGAGTAAAATTAGAATAGGTATCTCTTGATTCCCTTTCTTATTCGGCTTCAGTTTTTTAATTAGTTTTGTTTTTTATAATCATAAGGTGGATATCATTATGATATTCCTCTTCTTATAAACCAGGCGTGCACCTATGTGACGTTGGCGACTATTATATACATTGAGAAGAATATAATTGGTTTTTGAATGCTTGCAATAAGTGTAAGAGGAAGGCAAAGCCTGATGGGGGCAAATTTAGGTGTGACTATTGTCATGAATATGTGAAGGTGGTTGTGCCAATGTATTAGATCTACTAAACTTGAGATTATAAATTTACTACATAATGCACTATTTATATTATCATGTACCTAAAATCTTAAACAGATACAAAGTACAGATTAGAGTTATTAATGACACTGGAAGTGCTTCATTAGTCATGTTTGATCGTGAGGTTAGGCAAATAGCAAACATGTCGGTATTTGATTTAAGAGAACTGATGATCAAGGTAAAACATATTATAACATGAATTGCTTCATTAAAATTAAAAATGCTTTGTGCTTTCATTTTCTTATTATATGACTCTGTAACTAAATATTAGTTTACTCCATAGTAATCAATCTTTTTCACAGTCCGGGAAAATGAATACTTTTCCTAAATAACCTGATGTGCTGTTGGAGAAATAGTTTTTGTTCAAGTTTCAAATTACAGAATACAAGATCAAGTAAAATTGGTATAGCTATATCGTTGCTAGAATAAGCAACGACAAGAAGATGATAAGCGTGTGTGCTACGAAAAGTGTCCTGAATATTAGCACATAAGATGCATTTAAAAACCGGGGGCACAACAGAAAAGTGTCCTGAATATGTCTAATGAATGTCCAAGAGTTGCATATGAGTGTCCAAGGGACTGTCGTATAGAATATATATTCTATTATTCTACACTAATAAAACTTCATGACAAGTGTGTGCTACAAAAAATCTGATCCTTGCGCAATTCACTACAGTTTTAATCTTTTTTTTGGCGAAACACAATTGTGGTGATTGTGGGACATGTAATTCACATGCGAAGTTTCTGATAGAATTTTGGAAGATTACCAAGCTCTAGCTATTATTTTCAATGGTTGCATCTATGTAAAAAGACTTACTTCATGTAGTGATTTTTTTCCTTTTCTGAGTAAAGCGCAAATATTGTCTCTGATATTCCGATTATTCAGAGCTGGAAATCTGGTTGATCAAACTATGAACGGGGAATTGGCTGAAGTAACTTCTTTTGCTGGACACGTACAATTAGCGGACTTGTAGAGAATATTAAGAGGCATCCAGTTACCAGGTATTATATCAGCGCTTTTCTGTTTACTTGAAAATACTTCTACTATATGATTCTGTAACGCATTTGACATTTTATTGCTTTTGAATACCATAAGCTGCTGTTGAGGACCCTGATGTAGGTGAAGTCCCATCCAACACTGCTATAAAATTTACGACAATGTTACATAGAAGATATAGTTTATTAATTTCTCATTTCCTTTTTACCCCTCATATAGGTCTAGGATTAGGGGATATTTTGACACCTGATTTGGTTTCTCCACTGATTGAAAAGTTACCAGTTCAGAAGACTGGTGTCATACTTACCTGAGGTGAGTGTTATTTTCTTAAATCTGTTGTGAATTGTATAACTATTCTGTGTAAGAATTTTCAAAGTAAGTCTTTTATAGTAATCAATCTTTTATTTTCAGATTTCTTGATTGACCTTCACAAATTGTTCACAATTCTCTATCTCAAGATTTCCTCTTTGAAAAGAAGAAAACTGCAAGTACTTTCTCTGATTTCATTTTGTTAGGGTTTTCTACATAAAAAGTTCTTTTTTTAGTTAGTTTCTATTGGAATTGATTAAAATATAAATTATGGTGATGAATTTGATCTAAATTCTAATTTTTTAAGTTAGAAAACTGTAGGTACATTCATCATTTTTTTTCCTGATATGTTGGTATTAAATTCGGTAGTTATTATTTGGCTAATTCATAGCATGAAATTATTCTATTGTGATTTTAAGTTTTGGATAAATTTGTTAGCTCTATCTGACCGTGTCCTGTAATATATGTGTAAGTAGTGATGCATGTTTGTGTGCATGTTTGACAAACTCAAATTTTATTTTTCAATTCATGTATCTTATTGAAAGTTATCTGTCGTATGGGGATGTTTCAAAGTATAGATTTGATGAAATTGATAACTACTTCGTAGGAACACGGTGATGATTATGTAACATTCAGTGGTAGCTCCTTGAGAAGTATCAGGTACTGGACTTGGGAAAGGAGGCGGATTATTGGACTTGATTCTGAGTATCAGCTCCTTGAGAAGTATCAGGTACTGGACTTGGGAAAGGAGGCGGATTATTGGACTTGATTCTGAGTATGGTTTGACGTATCAGTCTGGTACTGGACTTGGGAAAGGAGGCGGATTATTGGACTTGATTCTGAGTATGGTTTGACGTATCAGTCTAATTGAAAGATACCTATTTCATTTTGTTTCAGCTATAGTTTTGTTCAATTGCTGTTAAAAAAAGGCTTTTAGTTTCCTCATTTTAATGGTGTTGTCATAAATAATATAAATATTGCTTCATTGAAAAAAATTTGTGAGTCTAATAGAGCTTGGTCACGACACTACAGGATCCCTAAGAAGTTTTCCTGTAATTTATACTAGCAAGACCTGGTACTTCCATTAGTGTAGGTAGACATTCAAAGGCTGCTTCATCTTTCATATTTGCATCTTCACTAGAGATCTTATAACCCTTATTTTGCTCACATATAAAAGCATATTTTAGCTTATTCACTTGAAGTCAAATTAATGGAGTTGTGTAAAAATTGAGAGAGCAATTGATTGTAATGGGCTGATAAGTTATTGGATGCTTTTGTATTTTCTTTCCTTGTCATTTTATGAGGTACTTTTTTTAGTAATTTGTTTATTTAATTATGAATATCAATAAATGATGATTTGAGTTTGTGTTTTTATTGTTGTTTGCAAGATAAAGATTCAGAGTTATGAATATCAATAAATAATGATGATTTGAATATCAACAAGTGTATTTTTCTTTTCTTTCTATATAATTATATTTTTCTGTTTCAGATCTGTTTGTTTCTTTGTTTGTCTTTACCATTTGTAAGTGATGAACTCAATATAATCTTACTAAAATGTATTTCTCTTATATTATGTTTTGTTATTTTTCTCCAATGGCAATGCATTTCATTTCAATATTTTTGTTCTTTCTTATGTTTATATAGAGTATGTGAAAGTTGCATTTTATTTAACTAATTGAGTACTTCTTATGCTGTATTCTTATGGTTTGATGATGTTCTTAAATTACAATCATATACAATTTTCTTACACTGACTTTATTTGATTTATGTATCACATTGTCTCTTATTTTCGTCAGGTGGATGTCATACACCCCTTATACAATAGGTATTATATTTCTTTGTTTTTTTGATATTTCACATTTATTTTATCAATTTCTTTGGAAAGTTATCAACGGTTTAAATATTGATATTACTCGCACAAAATATTCAAATATTATTTTTCCATGTTTACATTTTTCCAAACCTTTCATTATTTCAATTTTTTAAGTTTACTCATTTTTGGTACTTTTTTGACATTTCACTTTAATTTTGACTTTTTTCTACCTTCTAAATAATAAATAACTCCCACCATATTTCTGAATACCGTTTTTACACATTTACATTTTTCCAACTATAAATGATCTTAAACTGATTCAAGTTTTCCAAACTTTCTAATTTTCCAAACTATATATGCAACTTAGGTTGTATCATTTCTGACTACTTGTATATTATTAATGTTTTATTTTGCATTCTTTTGCTACATCGATTTTTATATATTAAACAAATCCGTGCATCGCACGGGCCTGTAACTAGTTAAATAAAAAATAGTTCCCCAAATCTTCATATGTTGAAATTATTCTCACATGTGCTAGGTGTTTCGAAATTAGTTCCCCAAATATTTCAACATGGTGCTAAATAGAGAGAACTAATTTCAAAACACTTAACACTTACTGGGGACTAACTTCAAATTATGAAGATTTGGGGACCATCTCAAAATATTGAATATTTTGGGGACTAACATCACAAAATCATGTCTGAATTTTGCTTCAAACCCCCTCTGACCGGTGATCTTCATCAGCTGTAGGTCTCATTTTGGAATCCTTTTTTTTTTAATTACCATTTCATGCAAATGAATCAATTTAGTAAAAATGTCTACACAAATATGTAACATTTGCAAAAGTGTTATGGGTTTTTAAGGCCCTTTTTATCTAATCCGCGGCTTTAACCGTGGTCGAGACATACAGAGTAATTTTGTCTTGAATTTTTTTTTTCTCGAATTTATCTTGTGCTCACTCTCCGTATTAAAAATCTGGAAGTTTGAAATTGTTCGAATCAATGCAATTATTGTAAATAGATGCAAGTTTACCTAAATACTGTAGCGATAACTGTCGTGGCTTGCAACTGTAGTACGTTTAGTTTAGTTTTAAAATTTTGCAATTTGCAACTATCTACTCCTCTATACTTAAAGATTTACTATTCATACTGAACAATACATCGATCTTTGGTTCCTCCTTTTAAGTATGGAGGAGTAAATTTATTGTTCGTGCTACATCATGAACAATGTTCTTTTAATTATAGAACACTCGATATGATTTCTAATTTTAAGCATACACATAATCAAATCAAATGTATTAAACCTTAGAGGGAGAAAAGTTCAAAATGAAATGCTTACAAAAGACGGGGGGTCACGCTTTGCACGGGGTACACACTAGCTTTATATATATGAGATTCTTTTGGACATTATACTATGGTTGATTGAAATTAGAGTTACGACTTGAACTCATTGAAACTCCAAAAGACTGTAACTAACTGAGATGTATAACACTATATTAGGAACAACTTCATATTCTTTTTTAGTTTTGTTCTAGCCCACTTTTAATCAATCATCTTGGCTTGTTCACTTTAATTATTCGTCTTGCTTTTATATAATTATTATTATTTTTAACTATTTTTCACTTTTAGCAACACTGTACTTTCTCAAGTCAAGCCTGGTTTTATATCGATCTAAATAATATGAAAATTTAAATTGGTTTTGGATTACATTTGTTTCCTGTGAATTAAATTGTCAACGTGAAAGTTTAAATTCGGTGTAGTCCATTCAAACAAACATAAAAAAAAAGAATAATTACAATCCTAAAGTTCAGAGATATAAGTGAGCAAAAGTCATTAAAGTAAAACCGAGAAATAAATTTTAACGAGGAAATAAATTAAAACTACTTAATCATTGTATTTTACCACGTGTATTGCATGTGCATAAAACCTATTAGATGTAAACACACAAGAGAATCAATATATGCATAACTCATCAAAACAAAACAGTGAAGCCTAATCCTATAAGTAAAACCCCTCCAAAAAAAATTGCGACTCCTCTCTCTACACAAACATATTTCTGTTCGCTTAATGTTTTGCCTAAAAGAATTATGGCATAAATATATCCTATTCTTTTGATCATCCTACATGAAAATTAACAAACTATTTTAACTTTAAAAAAGAAGAAAAGGAAAGAAAAGAAATTTCAATTAACCTTTATTATCTATATTCAGTTGTGTGATGCGTCGACGATACGATGAGTATGGATCTTAATTATATAAAAAAAAACTCACATAAAAAATTGTCCCACAGGACTCCAATTTGGAGGAAAGTTCACAAGCATCATGGGGGAAATGAGAAAGATACACAGATAGCAAGGTTTTAAATATCGGATATCGGGGAAATATCGGATGGCCAAAATTCATATCGGATTGCGGATATCGGGAAAATATCGGGGATATGTGGTAAATATCGGAATGTCATAATGAATGTTTGCGTACATAGTAGAATGCATTAAAATGTAATCTGGACATATGTAATAAAATTTAAGCATACAAAATATGAATAATATATGTTTAGGATCACTAATCAACATTCTAAAACAAACAAAAGTGCAAAGCAACGTTGCAACATTCGATCTGCTTTTTTAGGGTAAAATATCATTTGATATAATGGGGAAATCTTGATATCTTACCCAAAAATTCCAAATACGATATATTATTTTGCAACAAGCTATATAAAAAGATATATTGGTCCACATATCGACTAATATATCGGCCATATAGGGAATTTATCACTCAAAATAGCCAAAAAGCGGTAAATGATATTTAAAGACCATATCGGTTGCGGCAAGCCCTGTAAAATGATATATCAGGGAATATATCGGGCCATGTTGGGGAAATTTAAAACAATGACAGATAGTTGAGCTTTAACCCTTCCACTTGAACGAGTCGGATCCAATTGAACGAGTCAGAATCTCTATAAAAAGAATTCCAAGGATGATATATTATAAGATTAGGTCCGGATCCAATTGAGCGATTCAAATCTTCAAAGCAGTGCGTATCTGGGCAAAGATCTTAATTCATGCATCCGAACTTCCACATCAATCTCTTTATTAACTTATAACAAAGGGAATGATAACGGCGGCCGACTCTACTACAACATAAACAACAGAAGAAACAACACAATGCTAATCTAAGGAACTGGGGATCTGAAGCCTCCATTTCAAGCATTATTGAGCGTTCTCACTAGAACATGAACAGCTTGGATAATGTATAACAAATGCACGTAACTGAAAGTACCCTATTTCGATGCCAAATTAAAACTTACTAACAATATATCCTAGCAAGAGATGTATATGAGTTATATATGCAAGGAGATGGAATTAAACTAAGGGCGAAATAAACATAAACGCAAATAGAGAGAGAGTGTGCAAATATGACAAACGCAAACACACGATATGATCACGGAGTTCCGTCACTCCCGACCTACGTCTCCCCTCCCCACTCTCGAGGAGAACTCCGTTATCTCAACCGGTTTTCAACGTTCACCGAAAACGTTTACAACTCACACAATCGGTTTTCTAGCTCACCGGAAACTTTCACATGCAACTCAATCACACAATACACTCTCTAAGTATTGGCCTAGCCCGTGTCACCTTCCTCAAGTGTTCGGATTTACCACCTCTCCCTATGATTTACCACCTCTCCCTAGGCTTTACAACCGAAGTCACTCCTCTTGAAATTAACTCCGTCTCTCCCAACCACTTCTCTCGATATCCTTGTGTATTACAATATGATCTCACAATTAAAACTCAAGTACAAATGTTTGTTATCTGAACTCAATATAGCTCACACTCAAAGAATTACTCACCATAACCCAAATTATACTTAATGTGAAATACTAAAAGCTGCCCTGAAATGTAGAATGATCATGATCTTGCATATTTTGTTCTCATTTTAATCTCTATGGTTACTCTTCATATTGGCATTTCTTGCAGAAGATGGAGACCCGCATGACGAGATACAAAATGTATTGCAAACAACAAAGAAAATCATCTGACTGTTGACGAATGAACAGAAAAGGAACAATCACAACAAATGATAAAAGTCGAAGAAAAGCATGGTTCTTTCGTGGGGAGAGTGGTCATCACGTGGTGTGCCCAAAAGAGGCTTCTTTAGGAAGCTCTAATATCCATATCGGCTTGCACCGAAGGAAAAGAAGCGACGTCCATGGAAGTCCTACATGTATATGTGTTCTTATATACATCTTACAGGGAAAAGAAAAAAAAAACATCTTTAACATTATACACGTCCAAATAAGTGGATTGCAGAAAAGGATTGTGTGCTAATGGGTACAAAATTAAAAGCCATCTAAATTGGAAATTCAAGCTAAAAAGAATGGCAATATCTGCCTACATTCATAAAGATGCATAAGCCCAAACAATGTCCCCGTTTCCATCTGATTGGTGCCGCTTTAAACAAAGGATTAAAAAGGAGTTGAAGTATGCTACTACAATTTCAGTCCAGAGTGGATGGAGACTACTCCACCAGCAAGATTTTCATATTCGACCCTCTGGAATCCGGCATCAGAAATCATACGAGCAAAGTTCTCCTACAAAAACAAGAAAAATAATCAAGACAGAGAGGAAAGCTTTGACAAGAATGGGAAAATACAACTAGTCTGCGGCCTTTTACATTTTCTTCTCCTGTTAGTGGGGGCTTTCAGGTATCGCATATAATCAGATCATGTGATAACAGAAAGTTCCCACATGATTTATGTGTGGCAATTAAGCATAAACGGGACTAATTATAGAACGCGAATGCATCTCTACAATTTATAACCGCTAGTCAATTATCTGTTGATTTTATATTTACATTTTATATTTACATATCGAACCGTTTTTAAGCTTATGCTACATTGTTGTCATGGTGACATACTTTCATCTGTGCCTTTGCATGTGCAGGGACTGAAAAAAAATGCAAAGCGAAACAGACAACTAATCAGGCCAAAGTAGAAAACAACTTATGTCTAACCATGTTCATGCACCTAGAAGTAAGTGCTCGTTGGTACATTGGTTTAAGAGAGGTTTCAAATGGGAGATCAAACTCACTACAAAAATAGAAGGAGATGAATATGTAAAGAACTAGTCTTACCTGAGGGGGGAACCGTCGGATACTCTCGACCAAATACTGGTAAGAATCTCGATCACCGGCTACTAGCTCCCCAATAGCTGGGATTACTGAGAATGAATAGTAATCATAACTGCAAGGGGAAAGAGAGACATTCAAAAACAGTCGGAACAGAATGCCACACCAAACTCGAAAAACAGCCAGACAAAGAACAAGCTAATGAAGCTATAAACTATTATAAGCATGACAATTTATTGTCATAAGACATAGGCTCAACAATTCTGTAACATGGCCTAGGAACTCAAGAGGCAAATACAAACCCTTGTAGATACATATTTAGAAAGACTCACAATTGTTTGAAGATAGGTATGTCTACATGACTCAACTCAAGGCATAGAAAACGGCCACCTCGTCTAAGTACCCTGCAAATTGTAAAAAACATATAAAATAAAATGGATCACATTTAAGCATGAGAAATAGAACATTTTTCTTAAAGTAGAAGACTGCTTGTTATGATAGGCAACTCCTTCAATTAAAAAATTGTTTTTATACCAATCAGATAGTGTCGATGAACATTTCCTTGCCCTTTGTAAATCTAAAAAAAACAACCATTTTGAAACTTTGAGCATAGCCCATCAGTACCCATCACCACAATATGAGATGCTGCCCAGGCAGTGTAACTAGCAACAACTTGTGTTGTTTTGATTAGGGGTGAGGGTGAGCATAATTCGGTTCAAACCGAAAAAACTGACTGAACCCACGGATTTCCAACGGTCCGGTTCAGTTTCATAATTCCTTATGTTCAGTTCGGTTTGAATTATTCCCAAGACCGAATACATCGAACCAACCGACGTCATTGCTCGTGGATTTAATGTTCTGCTTTCCTGTCCAATAAAATTCACATATCCTTGATAATTGTTCTCTCCTATTAAAGCCTGCCATAACTTTTTGGTATCCCAATTAATCTCACAGCATTGGCCCATCTGAAGCCCATGAACGCACTATGAATCCTTGTGCATTGTCATCTATAAGCGAACCCAAGGATGCTTACCCCTTTATTACATTGTCCAGCCATTAAAATTCACCTGAAGTATTGCCGCCTGGCAGTTAAAGTAGAATGAGGAATTCAGGTAGGAGTTCTTGGGGCACCCATTTTTCTAATAATTTGTTTGCTTTTCTTGTTTGGTCTAAATTGTAAAATTGGTATGTTAAAAAAACAACAACTAACACCATATGTGTAAGTTGCTTTATTCTGTCAGACAGTTTTTTGTAACCTAAGCCAATGAACACCCCACCGAACAAACTGACCAACCAAACTGAATAATTTTGGTGCGGTTTGCTTTCGGTTCTAGCTTTATATCGGTTCGGTTCGGTTTCAAAAATGTTATCGAAGCGACCGTTTGCTCTCCCCCAGTTTTGATAGTACTTTTAAGTTATATGCCTCAGGAACTATATGAAAATACGACATCACCGCTTTAACATTACAAAGAAAGTTGATAATTCTTGTGCACATGCACAAGCTGCCATCACTAAGCATACAATGTAGGAGGTACTAACGAATTCACCTGTGCGCTTCGGAGAGAGCTCTCTCTATATGCGTCACATTTCTGATCCCAAATGCAATAGTATAGCCATCCATTGATCCATCTTCAAAACTCAAAGCTTCTGCATCTCCCTCCACCCAGATAAGGGAGCGATCTTCACCAAACCCTACATGCCAGGTAACTAGTTAATGAAATAAAGAAGAACCCATCTTATTTAAAGTCAGCTGAAAAGAACATTAACATAGCTTCGTCTTTTATACCCCTCTCAATAGCGCGCTTCTTGCCGACATTCAACATATTTGGGTTAATATCGCAGATGTATATTCGAGTATCTTCTTGGCTATCAGCCAAACCGCTCTGAATGGCTCTACGACTAACACTATTTATACTTTCTAGAACACGGAAAGCTACATCACCTGAAAACGATCAGAAATTTTACGTAAAGGATACATTAAATTTGAGATGCAATTAAAGAAAACAACATTTGGATTAAGAATAAAAACAATATTGTCTCCACTGAAAGGGAAAACAGAATTTTCTAAAGTCACTCATTGACCAAAACATCTGCAAATGGGGTTACGAAGAAGCTCCTCTATCAGTTGGTGGTTTGGTTCATGTGATCGGGACTTCCCCTCTTTCAAATGCAAATCAATGCAGAGATGATGATCCAAATCAGTAACTTCACCATAGTTAGAAGAGATGTTGGTAATCAAAGCATGAGGACCACAGATAAGGCATGGAATGCACGTCTCCAGCATATGTTTGTAGTCTCCATGGAGTAATCATAGAAGAGTTAAATTCATAGGACACTGCAAGCGAGGAAGTTCTCCTTACTTTTGGGTTTCTCGTGAGTGGCCGCCAATGAAGAAAGGTTTTCTTTGGCTTGGATCGGAATACAAAATTCCTTTTCAGGTTCCGAAATAAGTAAAAATAGGGGCATGCAATGATGACCAAGCAATATTAAAATTGAAAAGAAGTGGCCACTCCTGATTTGTATGGATTGCTGTTTAAAGACTTATAGTACTCTGTTGATTTGCATCTTTCACAAAATGACCAGGTTTCATGTGTTTTGCAAAGGAGGCATATAGTTGAAGAATAAGATTAGACCTGTCCCTCCGGCTACATCGAGATGCTTCATTCCAGGAAAGGGATGCAACTGAATAGATGAAATCCATCATCGACATGTCCAACCTGTCTTTCCAGAGCCTGTGCAGTCCAGCACTCATGACATCATTCATAAGGTCATAGTTTGATGCAACACTGCTGAAAACATTTCCTACCAATTTGCTTTTCTCATCTTCTCCTACTTCCTTAAACCCTGCGTATTTGATGTAAAAAAATTTTGATTATCTAATCGGTCGCAGCAACAATTGATTAATTTCCAAAAGAAGAATGGAAGAAAAGCGCCAAATACAAATCCCTAAGCGCCAAAACTTTTGGGAACGGAACAAGATCCAATCATTGGAAGAAACCATAATTAAACACAAAACTAAACAGCAAGAAAGAAGATCTGAGAGAAAAGAATAATATACCGAAACTGGTGGCATGAGTGTGGAGGCGAGAGGCAGCGGTGCCACTCCTACTCCTCGCAGTGAGAAGATCAAGAATCGCTGATGATCGCAGATGATTGCTGCTCCTTCTTAACGCCATCGCCGCTGCCATACAAATACAATTAGATCACTGCTGAGGGTATTCATGAGGGGCTGCTGACTGTCTGGATTAATGTGTGCAGATTAAAACGCTCAGACCCGGACCAACCTCAAACTTAACAGATGGTTTTGATGTCCTTTAGGGGCTGTTTGGTTGCTTTCCACCATTTTCCAAGTCCAACGTTTCTTCACTTTGTGGTTTTTCCTTCACTTTCATGGGAAGTTGTTTTTCGTGTTTGTTTTGTCAAAAACATGAAGAATAATTATTTTCCACCACTTTCATTTGTTTGGTTCAATTTAAAAAGAGAAGAAAGTAGTTGATGTATAAGTAAATTCCCTCATTTTCTAGTGTTTGTTTCAAACTAAAAAAATGAAAAAAAACATGATTGTGGTCACCATGTTGTGATTGTCACCCATATAGGACAAAATTATTGGCAACAAAAATTGAGATATCAACATGCTTTCCATCATACAAAAAAGTGAATATTTGAGAGAGAAATTTCAAAACATTTAAAGATTTGAGGGATTAATTTGCAAAAATATTTAAAGATTTGAGGTAGTAATTTGCAAAATGTTTACATATGAATATTTGAGGGAAAATTTTCAAAAACTTCAAAGATTTAGGGGACTTAAATTTAACTTTGAGAACATAATATGAACCCCAAATACTATAAAAAAGGGTCTATTATCCTAAGTTTTGGTCTATGTCATCATAATATGCATCGCCATGAAATCTATAGTAGCAATGTTGGCTGCATGTATTGCATCGCCAATAGATTACTAGTATAAACTTAGGTTGCATACATTTAAAAAAGACTATCATCATAGAATAATATCACATAACTAATGTCACAACAACCATTTCAACCAACTAATACTAAACCTAAAACCAAGACTAAAACCAAGTCTGAAACCTGAAGATCAAGAGAAATATTTGCTCAGTTAAGACCATTTTGTTCATTATCTGCCTCACCATGAAATTTATGATAGCAATGTTGGCTGCAATTATCATAATGACCCTACAAAATAAGTCTTGTCATCATAGATTGTCTCGCCAATAGATTACTACTATAAACTTTGGCTGCATATTTTAAGAAAAGACCATCATCATAGCATAAAAATGATAACATTTGCCTCATATAATCAAGAAAAGAGCTGATACCCATACCACTTTTGGTGTTATGTCAAAATGAGCCACTTTTGGGGGTCATATGAAATTTACCCACTTTTGTTTGGATGAGAAAGTATTGGGTACTAAGTTGCATCATAGACTCAAATTGACATGCCATGGACTATGAATATGAAAAAAAATGCACATCTGCTTGTGATTGTTCCTATACGTATATTGTATTTGGACAAATAAGAGAATTCCTAAGTGCCATTAAGAGAGGACCCTGCCCTCAATGACAATTGAAATGGTTCATTCAAAGCAACCAAGTTGCTTTATTTCCATCTCCACAACATTTCTTCATGTTGATTCACTAACACTGTAATATAATCAGATCAATAGGAACCAATTAATGCATGTTTCGAAGATCGCTTACAAGCAACATAAGGCATACATTCAGGAAATTGCAAACATTATTCAGTCATAAAAATATAGGCAGGTAAAATTGTTTAAATTTCACGGCGTGCCCGGTGGCGGTAAGCAAAACTTGATGTCCATCTTTCCAGAAATAACATAAGCAAGTAATAAAATTATTAAAAATTACAAATAGGACATGAAGAAGCAATTGAAGCTCACAAAATGAAAAGTTACAAAGTTAAATTGAAAAAGAAATTGAAGCATGTCCACAATTTCTCTAAATTTCTCGTAGAAAATCAAAAGAATTTAAAGATTGAAAAAACAGTGACTTAAATCAAGATATAAGCAAATCCCCTCAATTTAATTAACCCACTTGCCTAACCTAGTAGCTAATCATAAATCAAGATATAAGCAAATCCCCTCAATTTAATTAACCCACTTGCCTAACCTAGTAGCTAATCACAACCAACATTCTGTCATTACCCTCAATTTAATTAACCCACTTGCCTAACCTAGTAGCTAATCACAACCAACATTCTGTCATTACCCAATTGCTCTCTCTACGATCCTTCAAGATCTGCACTCACTCCCACTCTCTCTACCCCACCCCCCCCCAAAAAAACCTCATTTTCTATTTATATACCCATTCTTTTTATTAGGCATCCTTAAATCCCAATCTTCTCTCAGTCTTCAAAGCCAAATTCAAATCCGACCCATTTCCCAACAGTGAGTTCTCGCAGAAAATCAAAAAAATAAAGCAAAATGGTAAAAAAGGAGCAAGATTCATTCCGGATCCAACAACTTCTCAGATTCTAGGGTTTTAATTGGAGATTTCTAGCGATCTCTGCCTTCAATTTGACGTTTTTGTTCCCCGATCATCCACGAGGAAGCGGAAGTAGGCGGGAGAAAAGGGGAGAGATCAATGGAGGCGGGAGAAAAGGGAGGGAAAAGAGGAAATGAGTTGTGAGAGCAGTAACCGTAGTGTTTTCCTCATTTTTCTCTCCTCAATCAGTTGCGAAACGGAGCTTTTTTTTACTCAGTTTTAATACACTTTCAACCGATTTCAATCATTTTGGGATGGAAACAGCGTTTCCTCCAAATCCCATGTGGCTACAATTTTCCATCCCTCTTTTCTCCACGTTTTAGCGCAACCTAACATCACAAAGTACTGACAATTGACGTTTTTTTTTTCCTGTCAGTTTTCATTTTGAAGCTTTTCTCCATATTTTAGCCCAACCAAACAGCCCCTTAAAAACATCCACCCCAACTTGTACTTTTCAATCCCAATCTGATTATTTTATATATATCTATCACGACCAATAAATTAAATTAAATATCTTATCGCCGCGAGAAGACAAAGAAAAGAAATGAAAGGGATTTTTCCTTTTCCTCATCTTTTTTCTTGCAGCCTACATAAAACTCCTCCCTGATCCCATCTGGAGGGGCCTATATAAGCAAGCATACAAAGATCATGTTCTGCTCAAGACGAAGCAAAGAAAATTAACTCGAGAGAGAAGAGGGGGGGAGGGAGGGCTATGCCTACCCTTGATACCACCGCAATAGCAATTAGCAACCGACAACAAAAAGAAAAAATCCCTCAATTTTGTTTTGTTTTTTATTTTTTTATTTTTTATTTTTTATTTTTGAGCATCCATTATCCATCAACGCGGTTGTATCCATTTTATAATACATTCCTGATAGTAGCTTTTGTGTCCAATATTTCATTATAACGGACTAGAAACACAAGATGACTTTTTATAGACAGTATCTCTATATTTAGTTCCTCTATTCATTTTGTCTATGCATTTTTTATTTTCTATCCTTTTTTGATCTAAAATCAATCGCAAACATGTCAAGTTAAGGTGTTAAACAAATTAAGGAGAATATTTTATTCTCCAACCTCTGGTTTCATCACTAAATAAATTCAATGGTTGTAACAGACGTCTTGGTCATCATGTACTTTGTTGGAGGTATTAGATGTTAAAATAAAGAATATGATAGTAAATATGATATTTTTATCCAATTAGCCCAGATTAAACGCATGGTTACAAGGTTTCTGTGTTTTACTTAGAAGTACCTGTTTAGTTATAATTCTTGCTATCAAAACATTTTCCTAATGACATTGGTCCTATTTATTATATTTTCTTTGTTTACCAGTAAAGTAAATGAATATTATTCTTTTCCTACACATGATTGTTTACTCGGATTTTTTTATCTTTGTTTAATAGCAAAAAAAGGAAATATAAAATAATCATGTCCACGCGCAATGCACGTGCATCGTAGTATTCATTTAGAAACAAGGATTTTTTTTGTTGCTTTGAACAATAAAAGATCCTTTACTCTCACAAGTTAGGAATAGGTTACACTTGAAGGAGAATTTGGGGGTTGATAAGGATTATTCATCAGAATTAGAGTTTGAGATCTAAGTCTTGGTTAGACATCTATGAACAAAAACCAACAATGAGATCACGTATTCAAACCCAATATAAAATAATATTGACTAATAACTAACACTTTGTAGTAAGATTGTTCTGTTCTTTTTTTAGATAAATTTATTTACCCAGCTACATTGTTGTTCTTTTTCCATATTGACTAAAAATTTATATATTAGTTCACACATATCACTAAAATTTTGACGGAAGAAACAAATTCTACATTGATGTGTCTAAAGTGATTAATAACTGACCTTCAACTAATGATTAGACGCAAAAGCCTCTTAAGACAACCAAGCATTCGACCAGTTCAATCCTGCACCCAGCACTCGTTCCTCATAAATATAAATAAACATAATACAAAAATAAATTAAATTTCAATGCTTCCTCTGAAACTCAATTAGACTGAATTAATATGCTAACCCAAGATACAAATTTGGATGTCAAGAAAAAGAAACATAATATAAAAATTCTGGAAAATTCCACGTTTGTGACTCATAGGGATAAAACTCATAATACAAAGCCCAAAGTTAGTACCTTTCCAATATTATAGAACCTGCAGAAATTATGCATCAATCTCTCTCTTAAAACCCTAGATCCAGGATTTTTTTGGAAAAAAAACCACAGAAAACTGATGCCCTAGTGCCTAAAGAAAGACTCAATCTTTTGCTTCTTTTTATGAAAAAAAAATCTACCAAGATTTGAGCCCGAATTAGTTCCAAATAAAATTATCTAATAAAAAATAAGAGATCAATTTCCGAGGGAGAGAGAAGAGCTCGTACCTTCGATCGCCGAAATGACAAAGAGGGGAAAGAAGAGTGAGGAAATCGACCCAGAATTTTTCCGATATTAGTCCCTGATACCTTAAATATATTGAAATTAATTTATTCTCAAAAAATATTTTGAAAATAGTCCCCTACATCATCATATTTTGCTTAACCCCCAAATCTTTTAAGTATTATGAACTAGTCCCCCGAATCTTCATATTTTGAAATTATTCTCACGAATGTGTTGGGTGTTTTGCAATTAGTTTCCCAGATATTTCAACATGGTGCTATGTAGAGAGGACTAATTTCAAAACACTTAATACATTTGGGGACTAACTTCAAAATTATAAGATACTAGGGTCTATATTGAAGCTTTCATTGACTAATATCATAAAACCCCTATTTCATTTAGAATTTGGCTTAAAATCTCTCTAAGAGGTGATCTCTCTCAACTGTCGGTCTTGCTTTGGAGTTTTTTTCCCCTATTTCATGCAAATGAATCAATTCAGAGAGGTTGTCTTAATAAATATGTAACATGTGCAAATGGGCTATCGGGTCTAAAGCCCTTTTTTATCTAATCCGCGTGAGTTATTTCATGAACTTGTTAACGGGGTCTACCCAACTCTTACGATCATTGCATTAATAATTTATGTGTAAGTTACGGTCATCCATGAAATAAATAGGGAACTTACAGAATTAACAAAGTTCTAGAAAAGCATAAGAGAACTGAATTAGGGTTTGGAAAGGGTCACTGCGATTATGAAGTTTATAAATATCAAACATTAATCGATATATCTTCCATTGAAAAAAATGAAGTACATGGGTGGTAAAACCTGCTTCATAATATTGTCCTCTTTTAAGTGTGTAGTAATTAATTTTCTCCATTTGCTTGTATTAGTCCTTACAGATTGAAGAACATATTTCCCTAAATATGAGAGGGTAATTACTTAAGGGAAGAGAGAGGCCATGAACTTAAGATACAAGACACTAGACACTAGATACAACAACATATACATTACAAAGTTCAAGTTTTATGGCTACATTCAAATAATAGGAAGATACTTATGCAGTTCATACATGAACAGGCGACACACAATAACAAATGGGTAGATTTTCACAACTGATATAAGATCTCACTAATGTAACCTGATGCTCTTGAAGTAAAGCATCTTAGCATCTCCAACAAAAAGCTGATATAAGATCTCACTAATGTAACCTGATGCTCTTGAAGTAAAGCATCTTAGCATCTCCAACAAAAAGAAAATAATTGAGTGCACAACTGATGCCTGATGCTCTTGAAGTAAAGCATCTTAGCATCTCCAACAAAAAGAAAATAATTGAGTGCACAACTGATGCAATATTATCAAATAAGCATATTGCTACTGGAAAAGAGCCCTACACAAAATATCATAATCATTAATATGCACTTGACACAATATCCAAAAAGAAAATACATAAAGCAATTGGCAAAACTTCCTACAGTACATAACAATCCTAGTAAAAAATACACATCCTCTCATGCTTCTCTATAAATATCCAATTCAAGTTTGGCATGAGTTACGGTGATTTAAATCCATTGAATTATCCCAATTTTTTATGATCTTCCTATGTACTGTATTTATTTGTTCTCCTGTTGGTACTTTACTGCTTGCCAATTCTCAGGATGTAATTTTACTAATACAAGGAAGGATTTAGTGTAGGGAGGGTTATCTTGTTGAATGGTTCTTTCATTTAGGAAAGTGATTGCATCTTCCTAAAATGCAGTTCTAACATCAAATATTTCAGTAGTTATCTGCCATGATCATAGAGTTCACGGAAAGAAGTAATTTTCGTCACTATCTAGAATTGTTCAAAACAAATACAGGCAAGATTTTACCAATGGTGTTATGCGGATGTAATCTTTACTAGATTTCAGTGGAAAAATAACAAACTGGGATTAGAAATTTGCGTAGTTATTCCAGGGGACCAACTGACCAGGGGAACTTGAAACCTCATTGAAGCTGCAGGAAGTACCAACAAAATCGTGGTATTTTATCGAATTCGCTGCCAAACTGAGGAGCTGCCTTTGAGTTAATCTTATGTTGGCAAATTCTTTGTATATCATATACAAATTAAATTTGGAAGTTAATCTTTTATGCATGATTTGCCAATTTTTAGGTTTCAATGTGCTCCCCTGAACTTTGCTCTAACTTCTGCTTAATGATTTGTTTTTCTTTCTGAGTGGAAAACCTTTGATGCGTGATTTGCCAGATTATCAAGTGGGATTCTTGTCATATGGCGATGATGTACACGTTCCAGGTCACCGGAAAAAAAAAACTGCAAATTTCTTAGGCTATGGATTTGCTCGACAATCAGCATCCTAATCAAATCAAAATGGTTTTTTATCGTATTTCTACACATCCTGATGAACATCAGAGCCTTTATTAGCTAAATTAAAGCTCGCTAAATTAGAACAAAACATGCAGCTCTGTAAAAAAAAAGTGAACACACAGGAGAACAAATAAAAATAATCTTATATATAAGCATATTTGAATATAGCTAATTACACAAAAATAGTCCAAAAGATGCATACACTATATTGTAGTAAATTAAGAAACAAAAGGACAAATATATTTAAAAAAACGCAAAAAAAAAAAAATTATGCACAGATGAACACAGAAAATTTCACACCATAGGAACGGTCAAAATTTTAGGGGAAAACCTAGATCCGAGATCACGATATGTGCATTTAGAATTTAGATAGAAAATTTTGACTGAAATTTATCGAAATATTTGAGATTGGGATTCACCTGAGGAAAAGACTGTTATCGCAGGAAGTGGCGGCGACTTCAGCGGTGAATTCAGCGGAAGAGGTGATGCCGGGGCGGAGGCGGCGTCGGAGTCACTGGGTTCGAGAGGCGGTTGAGGCGGCGGAGGAGGAGGCGGAGGAGGAGGGATTGGGGTCGGGATGATGAGGAGCTGAGCTGCCCTAGAGAGAAAAGAGAGGAGATTTGGGTTCTGGAGTTTTGGTTTTGGGAATACGGGCGGGTAAATGGGTAAACAGCCCATTTAGTACCCATTTAGTTTAGTTTAAAATGAACACACCCGATTAGATCCATTTAATTAAATAGGTAAGTTTTGAGCGGACTAAGTGATGCGCATGCTAGATGGGTAAACGGGTAAGGGAAAAAATTACCTTTCCTAGAGTTCTTGCTGAGCAAGCCTGCAGATTTAACCATCGCCGAGACGTACAGAGTAATTTTGTTTTAGTTTCCTCTAATCTATCTTGTTCACTCTCGGTAGGAAATCACTGGAAGTTTGAAATTGTTTGATTTAATGCAACTATTGTAATATCCTTGTAAGTTAGGCAAATGTTGTCGAGATAATTGCTGTTGCACGCAATTATAGTTGTTTTACAACTCTAAACTCATTTGAAACTCAAAAGAGACTGTAAAAGAGATTACGCTACGTATGCAAGTCATTGAGTGTAATTTGAGGCTTTTTGTGACGGTAGTTGTAAATATATTTAGTATTTTTAATGAAACAAAATCTGCAAATTAATCTAAAATGTCTCAATTATATGCAACTGCGTTCACAATCCTTATTGCTGCAAGGAATCAAGCATAAACTGATGTTATAAAACCTTTTGCCTGCTTGATTTGAGGTAAACCTTGCACTGCTAAATTTTCTCCATATATATTTAATAAAATCCTGAGTTACTGGAAAAAAATTGCATATTGTTTGCAGGAATGTAAATGTTCTTATAAACATATTTCCTGCTATTGTTCCCTAGGCTTGAAATGTTTTACATTTTTTTTAAAGGAATTGATAGAGAACAATTCTTTTAAAATAGCTTCCAAGAGAAGTTGATTACGGATATGATCTTTATCTTATTACGAGAATACGAGGAGGAGGCGCATAGACATCTGCTAGTAACATATTGAACTATCTAAAATTGTGCATTTATCGTTTGATGGATGTGAAGAATATACGAGGCCTTGAATATTTGGAACCTAGAAGGCTAGAAATGGTGTTCCTCGGGTTGTATTTTACTTGGAGTTCTCAGCCTCCTTCCTCGTCCTCTAAATATCCTCCTCGCTCAACCTCCTGTTCTCGCGGTCAACAAGGAGGTTGAGCATCCCGTCATCGATCTGCAGACACATTTAAGATGCCATTGGCATCAACGTCGAAACCACCTCCATCGCCCTAACACCCTTGGGAGAAGGACGAAGGCCCGAGGTCTCAAACTTGCCGAGCAAAGTATCATCTCCGCTCCTCAACCTCTCACCCTCCCAGACCTCGATCAAGACACTCGACCAGTTGTTGTAGGATGTTGAGAGTGCGAAGAAGTTCTTCTTCATAGGAATCATGGTACTTCTTCGTATAAAAACGTTTAAGTCACTCAGCCGTAGTGTCAGTCTCCAGACCAAGAGAATGAGAGCGTCACAGATAGTCCACAGAAAACTTTTAATTCTCTCACTATTTTCGTCGTCAGATGGCAGCGACAGCGAGCTAGGCCATAGGCAGCCATCGGGGGTTTAGCTTCTGTCGAGCGCCTTTCCTTTCGAATAACTCCTGCAGCAACTCCTGGACTTTCGGGATTATAAGGCTGCTGACAACGACAGCACCAGTCATCTCGTTGATAGTCCTGGTGACGTTAAGTCCTGCAGTGACACCAGGCAACGATTGTCGCCAGACGTTGCGAATCATTGAAATGGGCAGGGACTGTGATAACAGCGCTCTTCAGGGTAGAACCAAGTTAAGCCTCGGCTCTAGGGCCAGCCATGACCTTGAAGGGCAACAATCTGGTGTTTCTCTACACTGAAACGCCATCCCATCGAGCGTTTCATACCTAGGATGTTTAGTTCAGAGACGGGTTGTAAGATTTGCCTCCTCTGCAAATATTAGCATTTGTTGTTCTTGGTTTCTCCAGAGCCTACTAATAGGACCTCCATATAATTATTTGTTTGGTCCCAGCAACTATCGTATCAGCCTACATTCAATATCCTTGATATGCTCACTATGTAATTAAACAAACAAAGCTTACTTGCAAACTATAATTTGATAGAAACTAGATATATATTAACTATAACCAAAAGTAAAAGACAGTAAAAGAAATCCTCAGAAAAAGCCTGTTAACACAAACCAGGCCAAAACCCAAATTGTTCATCAAAACGGAAAAGCAAAATATACGAAACAGTAACAGTAAAACAGCAGTAGTCCAGTAGCGCCATGACTTAATCAACCTCCTCAATCTTAGGCCCAGCACCACTGCCGCCGGCAGGAGCAGGACCATCCTCATCCATTCCCCCCATATCAGCACCAGCGCCCTGGTACATCTTCGCGATGATCGGGTTGCAAATGCCCTCCAACTCCTTCATCTTGTCCTCAAACTCATCAGCCTCGGCCAACTGGTTGGCGTCCAGCCACTGGATCGCCTGCTCGATTGAGTCCTCTATCTTCTTCCTATCAGCCTCTGCCAGCTTCGAGGCAATCTTGTCGTCCTTTATGGTGTTCCTCATGTTGTACGAGTAGTTCTCAAGGGCGTTCTTGGCCTCCACCTTCTTCTTGTGCTCCTCGTCCTCGGACTTGTACTTCTCGGCCTCCTGGACCATCTTCTCAATCTCCTCCTTGCTCAGCCTGCCCTTGTCATTGGTAATGGTGATCTTGTTCTTCTGACCGGTGGTCTTGTCCTCAGCAGAGACATTCAAGATGCCATTGGCGTCGATGTCAAAGCACACCGTGATCTGAGGAACGCCACGAGGAGCAGGAGGGATGCCAGAGAGCTCAAACTTGCCCAGCAAGTTGTTGTCTCTTGTCCTCGTCCTCTCACCCTCGTACACCTGGATCAAGACACCTGGCTGGTTGTCAGAGTAGGTTGAGAATACTTGCTCCTTCTTGGTAGGAATTGTAGTGTTCCTTGGGATCAAAACGGTCATCACTCCCCACCTTCTCGTTGCCCTCACCACTAAGGATAGCAGCTTGCACTGCAGCACCATAGGCAACAGCCTCATCAGGGTTAATGCTCTTGCAGAGCTCCTTGCCATTGAAAAAGTCCTGAAGCAACTGCTGCACCTTGGGGATTCTGGTAGACCCACCAACGAGCACGACATCGTGGACGGTGCTCTTGTCCATCTTGGCATCCCTCAAACACTTCTCCACGGGTTCCATACACTTCCTGAAAAGATCCATGTTCAGCTCCTCGAATCTGGCCCTGGTGATGGTTGAGTAGAAGTCGATACCCTCGTAAAGGGAATCAATCTCAATTGTGGTCTGAGCGGTGGAGGAAAGAGTCCTCTTCGCCCTCTCACAAGCTGTTCTCAACCTCCTAAGAGCCCTGGGGTTGCCAGTGATGTCCTTCTTGCTCTTTCTCTTGAACTCTTGGACAAAATGATTCACCATACGGTTATCAAAGTCCTCTCCTCCAAGATGGGTGTCACCAGCAGTGGCCTTGACCTCAAAGATACCCTCCTCAATGGTAAGAAGGGAAACATCAAAAGTACCACCACCGAGGTCAAAGATGAGGACGTTCTTCTCACCGACGCTGGTTGCCTTCTTGTCAAGACCGTAGGCAATAGCAGCAGCAGTCGGTTCATTGATAATCCTCATAACGTTAAGCCCTGCAATGACACCAGCATCTTTGGTGGCCTGACGTTGTGAGTCGTTGAAGTAAGCTGGAACCGTAACAACGGCATTCTTTATGGTGGACCCAAGGTATGCCTCGGCGATTTCCCTCATCTTAATCAAAACCATTGAAGAAATTTCTTCGGCAGCAAACTGCTTTTCCTCACCCTTGTATTGGACCACAATCATGGGCTTGTCTCCAGGGCCAGGAATGACCTTGAAGGGCCACAACTTGCAGTCACTCTGGACAGACGCATCGCTGAAACGCCTTCCGATCAATCGTTTTGCATCTGAAAAATAAATCAAAATTGTCATGTAAGAAAGCTGAACATGTAAATGTAAAAGAAAAAAAGGCAGCATACAATATAGAAAGACGTCATAAATCTCAAGCAAAGATGCACAAAGGTTCTTCATTCAAGAAAGGCCATGATTCAATTGTTTAAACATATTACAGAATATAAATCTGATAAACTTATTTGAACATTTATGTAAATTGAGGTACCCAAAAGACAACAAAAAAGCAACTTTTTTCCAACGAATCAAAACAATATATTAACTCAGGACATGAAAGCGTGCAGAAATTACTTACACCTTGTTTGGATGGAGGTTAATGGATGGAAGTTAAAGTGAAATTTCAATTTCACCTTGTTTGGGAATTTTTTTCAGGGGTTAAGGATGGAATGGAAGGTTAACTTTCCTTCCATTTTCCTCCCCTCCAATTTGGTGTAGAGAATGTAATGGAAAACAATGTAAAATTTTACAATGTGATAAGACAATTATACCCTTATGATATTAAAATCAATGGCTAAGATATACTCACATGCAATATGTAAGGGTACTTATGTAAGTTTATACATATTCACTTCACTTCTCTCCTCTTTATTAGAACTCCCAAACAAGGTACAACTAGTTTACTTCTGTTCTCCTTAATAAACTCTCAAATAACATTTTATCTTTTCACTTTCATCCCTTACATTTCTTTTTTATTGTTTAACTTTCTGTCCCTTCACTTAGTAAACTCCCAAACAAAGCATTAGTAACACTGCAAAAGGACATCAGATAGGACTACACAAGAATCTACTAAAGAGCGTTCATAAAAAAACGCCAAATACAACGTCATAGGATAACTTAAAGTTACGGAATAGTAGCCTAGCTCATTATGTTCCCACACAAGATAAAGTAAGAACAAATTAACATTAATCTAAGAACAAATTAACATTAATCTAAGAACAAATTAGTACTATTCTGAAACAAAATTTCGCCCAAAAACTTGACAGAGACTACTACTTCATAGGATGCCCAAAAGGTTACATCAAATTTAAAGGTTACATCAAACTTAATGATACTGTCAAATAAGAATCAGTCCTTTATAACCTAAATAGACAGACAAATAACTAGG